ACATACATACATGTAGTAGGCCTTAAACAAGTTTCATGTTCAGGTACACTAGTGCCTCGATTATCCATGAAGGCAAAAAAAATCACATAACAGAAACAGCAGATAATCGAGGCACTAGTGTACCTGAACATGAAACTTGTTTAAGGCCTACTACATGTATGTATGTATGATTTATTTTATTCCAGTTAAAGCTTGGAATGGCTAAGAATATATTATAAACAAAATATTTTGTATTGTATGTTTGAATATAAATAGTTATGTTGAGAAAAAAAAAATAGATATTTCAGAAATGCAACTTGTTGAATCCATCCCCCTGCCCTTCACACACCAAATCTTTTGTTCAGATAAAATGGCTGCACACACTGTATTGTGGTCAAAACCCGACCCTATTTGGCAGGTCTCATCTTTAGTTTCATCAGTTGTCTCTAGTGACCTTTGCTGGCATCCATCTTAATGTTATTAGTTCTTGGATTAAATGTTTTTAATGGTCCTCTGAGGAGGTGTGGTGCTTGTATAGTGGTTTTTAGTTATGTCTTTAACCCATATAGTTTTTTGATGCAAAAACTAATTACAGTGCTTTTAAAATTCAAAAACAGATAAAATGGGATAGAAAAAATATATATATAATTTAAAAACAACGTTTCACCACTGTTAATGTAGCATCATCAGGTATTCAGCACAATTAAAGACAAAACTAAGTTATTTTAGCTGTTTTTAAATTTTGTAAAGTGTGGGATATCTCCAACATTTATAGGATGTGGTACTGAAATTGGTTTGATTGGCACAAGCAGGTGAGAATGATGGCACATTTCTCCTGAACGGGATGGCAGTCCATCACAGATTAACTCCCAACTAACAGTTGGGTAGAATGGAAAACGTGTCTTGCTAAGGGACACAACAGCATCATGCAGGCCAGCCCCAAACTTGTAACCATCTGAGTACAAGTCTAAGTTAAGTGCAAAACCACGCTGCCAAGGTGTAGATGTACCTTTATGTAATTAAAGCATTATGTCTCTTACACATTTCTCAACCATTATAACAATAATGTGAAGAGTACTCAACTGATGAAGCAATGCAGTCTAATCTTTAAAGTTGAAACATAAGAAGGGTATATCTAATCAGCTATACTGATTACCAAGTTGACGTTTACTCTTAGTACGTAGCTTGGTCTTATTAAAAGTTAATATTAATCACTGTATCCAAGCTGTCTGGTGAAAGGCCTTGTTTGCACTGGATTGACATGTTGTTATGTATTCTTCGTTACTACCACTCGTACATGTAATATATTTTATTCATTCACCCTTGCCTTTAACTCTACTGATCTATCATATCGAACCAGAGGTTTCTGCCAAAAAACGGATTGCACTTGAGGAAACTATTTTTTATCATCTATTTTTGGTGTGTATGTACAGTGGCGAACACTGAACTTGATCTTTTCTTTGCTTGTTAATTTATTTTGATCTGATAGTGTCCTCTGTATAATTATCACTATTGTAGGTTCAACATCTCTTCCAAGCAGATTTGACATAACTCAGTGTTGCATCTGATGACGGTTTGATGAAAAGAACGTGGATCACTCCAAGAATGTTGTCTGTAGCTAAATTTGGTTTTATCTCGGTTAAACGTTGATATGCAGATCTATTGACTTTTATACCTATTGGCTATTCTAGTGCAGTGATTCTGATTTACTACAGGTACAACACTGCTATTTCATAGGATCTCGGTGGTTTCTAAAGAGCTTGGGTTCAACATTATCTCTACTGCTTTATCTCGGTGGTTCATTTTATTTCAGTTAACTAATCACAGCTGAGGTTTTTATCCTACAGCTTGCTCGGAGGAATGTTTGTGGTCAGAGTTAAGTTTGCCTTCTGTAAAATAATAGAGCTTTTGTTACACAAGCATGCATGTGTGAAATTCTGCTTTGACCTCCACCTAGTGGAGCTTATTTCTGGTTCTAATCAATAAAGGGAGTAACCTAGAGCATATGGGGATTGTTTGTTATAGACTTAGAACACTTATCCATAAAAATAAATAGAAAAACAATTTTTATAATAAGATATGGATGGTAGGCATTATGTAGGAAATGCATACAATGTTTTATAATTAATGCCTCAAGACTATGAAATAATAAAATTACAAAAATCCTTCAGGTAAAACTCAACATATGGTGTTTTTCTGGTATGTTTTTAATTTGTGGTATAGTTTTGTTAAGGAATGATGCAAAGATTAAGTAATAATTTCTAGATTTAAAATGTTTAATTCACCCAAAGTTTGGATATGTATCCTAACATGGAGTCAGTCAGCAAATAAACTTAATGGACATCTTTTATTGGAAATAACGATTTTTTTTTTCAGAACTGGAGTGGATAATAAGCGAGACTGGAGCAATAAAAACAGATCTGGAATCTGATCCTCGGCCAAAGAATGTTACAGAAGATGTTATGCTTTCTTCGCTGAGAAGCAATGAAGATGATGACAATGATTGGTAGACGAAGTTAATTCATAATATTTATTTACATGGTGACATTTGAAGAATGAATGCTATAATAAAAAAATGCACATTTCAATTTTATGTCTTAAATATCTTTGAAGTCCAAATTGAGGTTTTTAATAACAAATTTTTTATCGTATGGTGTGTTAAGTCCTTGATATTGCTAACTAGGAGATATGTAGTGCCTTAAAAGTTCATGACCTCTAATAAAAACTGGTACTGATTTTGTAGCCCATAGTCTTAGGTAAAAGGCTGATTGTATTTAATTAGTTTTGTGCTTTTAAAACAATTTTTAATTACTTAAAGTTTAGGTCCCAAAATATGCACTTCCATAATTTGTACCCCCACAGTGGTTTGGCAGTTAGTCTGAAGGCTTTTTATTCTAAAAAAACTGGGTTTTGATGCCCATTGTATAGCTTAACAACAACCAAAACTTAATTAGATAAAAGAAAGAAATTGAGACATAAATCTGAAAATAAGATATTAAAGTGTGCATAGTGTTATACCATAGAGCTCCATGGTGAAGTTATTAAGAGACAGAAAACATGTTTTTCAGTAATGCAGAGAGTTAGAGGCATTATATTATGAAAGACAAGTTTTGTCCAAAATATAATGAAGAAGGTTAGTACAGTTGAAAAAAAATAGACAAATAACCTAACAGAAAAAAATCAGTTTTATAGTTTAAAAACAGTAATACTTGATCAGAATAAACATGTGTTATTAAACACAATTGTGCATGTCACTTAAAAAAGAAATATATATACACACACACTATAATAGTTTATGACAAAAAAAATCTTTGTATCTTGCTTCTGGTGATATTAAGGTAAGATGGAGTACTTTTTTTTTATGAGATGTTAAAAATGAAATCTTTGGATTAATTTTGTAAAATTCATAATTATATTGTGGGTTTCCAAACACAAGGTGTAAACAAATTAGCATATGAAAAAAAAACATTGGTATTAAGTAGCCTAAATTACCCAGAAATTAAACTTTGAGAAATATTAATATTTTATATCATAGCTTCACAAATTGTTACCCTTTTCCAATCATGTACAAGTAAAACAAAGGTGGTAGTATTCAAAATCCAGAGCAACACTTGTATTTGTGTAGCCAAATTATGAGTTTGATTCCAGCTTTATCTCATTCAAAAATGTTTAAATGTTATATAACCAGTGGAAAAATCTGGTAAGGTGTTTTATGATCAAATGTTGAATGGGAGATAAAAAAAAAGGCATAACTTGGTAATCATTTGAATAAAATTCTAAAGCTAAAAAAACAATACAGTAAAACTGTAAAATCTCTAGTAACCCAAGAGTTTGAAATTCCATTTATTACTGTTAATCATGTGTTTTCAGAAATTTCCCATCTTTTAAAATAACAACTAAACATAATTCTCTAAAACTACAATCGAGATACACGTGTAGTATAAGGCTTAGTTACATTCAATCACAAAGGACTTATGAAAACAAGGATATAAGAAAATTTATTTCACAGACAGTTTAATACAAGTATTAAATCTAAGTTGTAGCAGTGTATCCTGCCATGCCAACAGTACATTAAGCATAATTTATGCACTGCTTTCAAGTTGAATATAAGAAAGATGTCAGCAATCTGTTAGAAAAAAATGTGTACCTTTACTTTGTAAGGACATTTAGATGCGAGTTTGGAATACTCATCCTAAATTAGTATCCACTAATAAAGATTTAGAGAGAAAAACTCATCACCATTATTTAAATTTTTTTTTAAAACTGAGATGATACAATTTTAGAAACATTTATGAAATTTAATGAGACGTGTTGTTGAAAATGGTATGATCTTACCGAGACAAAGAATTCTTATTATTCACAAAAAATAAAATCCACAAAAAAGGGTAATATAAGCTTCCACTTAAAATATAAAACACCACACACACACACATTGCTAAAAAAGACATTTCTCTCTAATTCCAGTCTTTTGTACATCCTCTTCCTTAAAAATGGATGAGATTTGATTTGTTAAAAGTTTCTTTTCAAGTCAGAAATTGTTTAAAACACTTTAAACTACAAAACATTGTGATTGAAGTTACCTAAAACACAAAGAGTAGAACGGTTTTTTCGCTATCGAATGTGCATGTATGTTTACTGATTTATTACCACCTTGTTTTGCCTTATTAAATGTAAACCAGCAAAAGTTTGTTCTTTTTTAATGGTAAGATGACAGCACTTTATTTAACAAAATATAGAAACATAGTAAAGCATTAGTATGGAACGAACTACTACATGGAAACAATAGATCGTGTTCTGATAACTAGTTGTACAAGAGCAAGATAGAATTCTGTGACCTAACACAAGTCGAGATTAAGTAGTTGTTGGAACAATAATTAAGATTAACAATCAGTTGGTTGCTAAAGCTTTTCCTGTTATTGTTTTTGTAGTCTTCCCACTATTATAGAATTCCTTTACAACTGCTAAAAATTGACCAATTATTTTGTGTATTTTTTCTAACGTTATCTAATCTATTTACATGTTAATATGTGTAGTCAGACAAGATGACTGACACAGATGTAGCGTGTAAAGCCTAGGCTTCAAAGGTTAGTAACTGATCCTGAAATATAGGTATAATCAGTACCTAAAACGAACAATGAAATGTTTGAACACGTGGAAGAAGTCTCGAGATGGAGCAGTGATTTCTCTTTCCAAGATTTGCACTGACCAGTTGCAGCCACCCACTAACCATTGCATAACAATGTGTGCATAACAGTAAATTATGTCGTATCCTGATTGTAAGAGAGTTATATCTCCCTTTCTACATTTTAGTTTTGTGTGACACAAACATAATCTGGGTCAAAATTTATGTTCATTCATAACCAATTTTTTCGTATTTTAATATTAAGACAAAGTTATACTTAATCTTAACATATGGTTTTCATCCTGATTTGTAAGACTAATACATCTAAGATGATGTTGGTGAAGGTCAAGAGGGAAGATGTAAGTTCATTCATCTTCAGACTAAGGATGTTGAGGCTACTTGACTTTAATGATGTTTGTGATTTGAATAGAAGCTTTACAAATTTACAGTATGTGTCCATTGCTACTTAGCATGTTTTCCACACCATTTTTATAGTGCTTTTTCATGAGGGGAGGCATTAATTCAAATATTGATTTTAAAACTTTTGAGTGTTGCAATGGTAAAGAAACTTGAGGATACTTAGTAATGCCAGTTGTGACTATTTTGAGAAAGTGCATAGAAAGTTTTCAGTTATTTACAGGATAAATGAATACCCAGGAACTTCTAATCATCTGCAGACAAAACAAAATTCATAATATGGCAGTAAATTTTTTAAATTTTCAACGACTGAAAGGTCAAACTTTACTTCTTTTTTTTCGTTACTGCTAATAATAGGCATATTGCTAGCTAAGGTAAAGTACTCTAATCATTTTATAAACATTTTCAACACTTGAGATCAGGAAGAACACAATACACTTATATTGGAAATCTTGGTCCCCTATTCATATGTATACTGTTTTATTTTTCTGTTACCAAGCTGACAATATAATTACCAATCACGAAAAACTGAAATTAAACAATACCGTGCGTTTACATCGAGTTCATACATTTTTAAAACGTACTTCACTTAGATAGTAAACATAGCCAGCATTTGGTGTTGCTGGGCTCTCACTTGGCTAAAAATAATTAATAAACAGGATATATCTTTGTTTGAAATGTGTCAATTTGAGTTTACTGGAAAAACAACAAAAATTCAGAGTTAGTTTTAACAACTAAATATCACCACATTTTTTTAATGATGCACGAAATATAATTAAACATTTCTGTAAGACGGAGACTAGTTTTGTTTTATCAACTGGCGAGTTACCGATCTTTTAATTGATACACAATTGGAGTGGTACGAATATAACATTCTGTAGATCAAGAATAAGGGAATTAATAACAAAAAAAAGTCGCTCCGTTCATCAACGTTTTTAAGGGAAAATATCAAGCGTGAGTGGTTTTATGAAGACAAACTGAAAGATAAATACACATTACGAAAACAGAAGTACTAATACGTCTTGTAGTTGACTGAACCAATAGCTGCACTTTTACTCAGTATTATTATAGTTTGGGGGATTGTGGTTACTAATTCCAATTAAAACACCTTATATACAAAGTACATGTGCTAACTTGTATACATTTTCATAAAAGAAAAATTTTGTTGTTGATAATAGCAATTAGCACCATTACGTTTATTACGCCAAAGCACTTTCAAGAAGTGAACTTTCTTTATGAATAAGCATAAAAAAAAAGAGGAAAGAAACACCAGCAGACATAATATACGGGTTGATATGAATGCCAAAGATAAAAATATTTATCATGAAAAGCAAATACGTGATAGCATAGAAGCAGCCAATTCAGAGGTCATTAAGTTATTACATTACAATGTTTATCGTTTTCTGATACATTTAGCAGGGATAAACTTAAATTAACTACTTTTATTTATCTAACCATTACTTAATTTCCCCTTTTTTCAAAGAGCTTGGCATACTAATACTACTGATTAAAATTTGTTATTTTTTTTATAAACCAGAATCTAAAATGATAAATCTATAAAGAAAATTTTTAAGCCTATTTTTAATCTTTATTTGAGTACCTTTGTGAGCTGCATATTCCATTCTGATAGTTCTAATTCCAAATTTACAGTGTTTTAAAACGTATAAACAATAAAACCTTGCATCTGGAATACAATGCATTTAGAAACATTGCTAATAATTACACTTCTGTAAGGCTATACTTTTATTTCATATTTGTAAAATGTCTGGATGCTGACATTAAAAGTGAGTAGCCAATTTAATAATCTTCATTACATGTGATGTAAAAGTATAGTAGATTAAAAAAATAAAATTATAAAAAAAACTATCCAGGGCTAGTCAACAATGAAAATCAAAAACATAAAAAAAAATCTGTGCTTGTTGCCTGTACAGTTTTGATTTTCATATGGCTGGTATTACAGTACTAAAACTTTGAGGCACAACTCTGGTTCTGTTCCTAAAACAATGTTATGTGTGTCATGTATAAGCTCTTTGCTGATACTGAAACAACATAAAAAAAGAATACTAAAAACTTTAGTACTGAACAATTTAAACATTATCATAGTTATGCCTGTACACAGCTACTACTTTGACAGTGTCTTTCGAAAGAACACTTATAGCTGCTACCTCGCAGAACATTCTGTGCCTAAACAACCAGATTCAAGCATCCCTAGTGACCAAATTCAGAACCGTGTAGCCGTAGAATATCCTACAGTATTAGCTCTCGTCAGCTACATAATCACAGGAGCCGGACGCCAGCAGTTTTGACGGTGCCTTAAGCAACGTACGCTCTCTTACGCAAAAATTCAAAACTCATCACTATTTTTGACGTATGTTGAATTGCAGTTGTAATGGTATTATTCTGTGATGAAATATTCCAGATATATGCTACAGTATACATATTTTACTATTTCTATATATGAAAGAATGTTTTTATATACGCACACACACAAACAAGTATGTTAAACTGGATAAAATCATTCATAACAGCAATCAATCAAAACATAACACATGCTGAGCAAAGCTTCAACATTCAAATATGTGATGTACAAGTAAAATGTATTCCCCTCATGTACATGAAAGGCAAAAGCTAACGTTTTTTTTAAAGATATTTTTAAGGCAAAGGTAGATAGTTCAGTGTGATATGGTTTGCTTTTTTTTTCTCCCCTTTTCTTCTTTAAAATATGACACTATAAAAACAGTTGGACTTTTAATCTCTGTCATGGAGGGTTGCACACCTGATCACCTCCATCCATCTGGGGGAAAAAAAACAACAACAATGATATAAAGTTATGACTGCAACAACATTACTTAAACAACAAGATCTCGAAATAACTACATCCTATATTTGTGTTGTAGTTTTTAAAGATTCTAATTGAACTATTAAATAAATATATTGAAGAGAGTAAATAATAACAAGTGCTAGGATTTTCAAAGATTCTCAATACTTTTGTGGATTTGGTAATTAGTCTTCTATCAGATTTACAACTGCTTTTCTTATATTGTAGCATATGTATAGTTACTATTACTATGGTGTGAATGCCACGAGGCTAATGTAAATAGTGTTCCGACCACTAGTGTGTTGGTCACGTTCCAGCCGACTTGGTGAGCTCTGGATTGAGCAAAACAAGTCGTTGGGAATGGATGTGATGAACATAGTGTGGTTGGAATACTGTTATTATACACTCTTCTAATCCTCGAAAATCCCTACAGGAATAGACAAGGAATGCGGGATTGAAAAATAATAGGCCTAATATTTATGTGTATGATTTATTATAGTTACTACTGTTACCTGTCACAAATAAAATTTATTGAAATACTGGAAAATTTTTATCACCAGCACAACAGAAATTAATAATAATAAAAAAAAACAATAATACTTCTTTTATGATATACAAATGAAAGTGCAACTTTACTACAGAAATCATACATTTGTAGTTCCTTTACTATAGTTTACAAGCATTCCTCTAACAATAAGTCTTTCAAAACTGAAATACAAATTTGTTATGTAGAAAGCACGTAAGCTGGCCTTTACAAGTTTTTCAATAACAAACTTTCATTAAAAAAAACAAACTTTTTGTTCAGAATTTAATTATAATGGGAAAGAGAAAAAAAAAAAATGAAAAATGAAAATGAATTTACTAAAGTCACATGCTGGAATATCTCTCAATTATACCTTTGTCCATTATATGCCAGCCAACATTTTAATAATTGTATAAAAGATAGATATGATGTACTACTGGAACCTTTTTTTTTCAAAGTGTCCCTTACTTTTCTTTTTTGGGGGGGGGGGTTGTAATAATAAGAATAAAAGAACTTTTATTAAACAATATAATTCCAACATTTAAAAAGATGCAGAAGCTAATTCCTTCATAAAGCAACGTGTTTTATTGATTAGGTTTAGTTTTTGTGTGTGTTGTTCATATTTTCATGCTTTATGGTTTTACTTTGAAGGGCATCTATACTCATGAAAGTGGTAAAGATGAAAAATTACAGTTCTTAGATTTTTTATGTATTATTCTCAGGGGAAGTGAATTCTAACTCTCTAGCTTGTTTTTTTTTTACATGGATGTGACCAAGATCTTTCTTCTAAAACAGATCCAGTAAGAAGTGAACACAAAATATAAATAAATACTACTAACCTGCTAAATGTGTATTCACTTTCTGCCCTGAAAAAGTAGATATGATTCTTGAACTGTAACTTGAACACAAAGTCTTTGTTGATAGCATCATGATGATCTGGAATACTTACTGAGTACCCAAGAAGAGGAAGGCTTGCTAGAGGAAAATCTTCCTGAAAAAATAATAATCAAAATCTAAGCCTTCAATTCCCAAACTTTATACTTTTCAGCACCAGAAAACTTCATATAAGTATAAACAGAACTATAAAAAAAAAAGAATACATATTTGTAATTCAATTAAGTCAAAGTAAGCATGTCACAACCATCTACAGAGTTACATTTAACTCTTTTTTATCTGAAGGTTTTCAGGAGGTTATAGAGACTTCGCTTGTGAAATTTGACAATTTTCTGATGCGTAGATGTATTAGATAGTCAACATTCAAAAAGAAAAAAATGCACAAGCAAATCATTACTTAAAAAATCTGATATTCAGTGTACAGAAGCCTTGTAATGTTTACTGATGATCTGCAACATTTCTTGGAGATATGTTTACTGTACTAAAAGTTATGGCATGAAAATAAGCACAAAATGGTTGTGAGGTCAGTTCCTGGAACCAAGCCCTTAGTAATTATCAGAAGATTTATGTTTAGAAAAAAAACTTTATATTTTATCTGCTACTTTCACTATTGTATCTCTGTATGAGTTTGGTCGATTTAACCGACCTTGTAATCACCATAAAAATCAGGAAATAGAAATAAATTACACTTTTTTCGTTCTAGAATGCTATAAATTATAACACGAAATATTTAGTCATAGACATTCATAGTTATAGTATGTATAGTTTTATGGTTACAAGGTCAATCAAGTTAGCTGAGCTCGTACACAAGAGTGAAATTATTGCCTTGTACTTAAAATAATACACACACACATATATATATATATATATATGTGTGTGTGTGTGTGTGCTGGACACAAGTTCAATATATGCTGAAAATAAATGAGTTACACGATTTATAATTTTTAGTATAATTAAAGTTTCAAATTCATCATAAACTATACTGGTGTAATAAAATCAAATATGATAAAAAACGAATTTTAAAATCACTATAATTTACAAGTGTACCTCATTCAAAATCTACAGAGGTTTAAATCATGTTTATATTTGCCTTTTAAATGTACACAGATTTGTTTCTGTGAAAATATTTCCATCCTCATTATTTACATTTCTATTTTTACTGTTTGAAAAGTGCTATTCTTCTTAATGTGTTTATTTAATGTGAAAATATTTCATCCTCATTATCTAATTTCTATTTTCACTGTTTGAAAAGTGCTATTCTTCTTAATGTGTTTATTCAATGTGAAAATATTTCCATCATCATTATCTAATTTCTATTTTCACTGTTTGAAAAGTGCTATTCTTCTTCGTGTGTTTATTTAATGTGAAAATATTTCCATCTTCATTATCTAATTTCTATTTTCACTGTTTGAAAAGTGCTATTCTTCTTCATGTGTTTATTTAATGTGAAAATATTTCCATCCTCATTATCTAATTTCTATTTTTACTGTTTGAAAAGTGCTATTCTTCTTAATGTATTTATTTATTGTGAAAATATTTCCATCCCCATTATTTTAATTTCTATTTTCACTGTTTGAAAAGTGCTATTCTTCTTAATGTGTTTATTTAATGTGAAAATATTTCCATCCTCATTATCTAATTTATATTTTTACTGTTTGAAAAGTGCTATTCTTCTTAATGTGTTTATTTATTGTGAAAATATTTCCATCCCCATTATTTACATTTCTATTTTTACTGTTTGAAAAGTGCTATTCTTCTTAATGTGTTTATTTATTGAGAAAATATTTCCATCCCCATTATTTTAATTTCTATTTTTACTGTTTGAAAAGTGCTATTCTTCTTAATGTGTTTATTTAATGTGAAAATATTTCCATCCTCATTATCTAATTTCTATTTTTACTGTTTAAAAAGTGCTATTCCTCTTCACATGTTTATTTAAACAACTACAGAGACATCTGTTCTCATTCGCCTCCTTGGGATACAAACTGAGTTATATATATTTTTAAAAACAACATAATTTTACAAAACAAAGAACAAAAGTATATTTCTCTTTGCTACAAATATTTATGAGACAATGTGAATACATTTGCCCTCAAATATTAAAATAAAAAATGTTTACAACTTGTGCTTTTGCAATTCTGTTACTTGTTTGTAATTAAGCACAAAGCTACACAATGGGCTATCTGTGCTCTGCCCACCACGGGTATCGAAACCCGGATTCTAGCGATGTAAGTCATACCGCTGTGCCACTGGGGGGCACAATTCTGTTACTGAAACCAACATAGTTTTTTTTCAATGTATATTTCTCTAGAAACATCAAATCTCTATAAAATAAGATCACATCAAACTAACATGCTTCTATCTAAAAAAAAATCAATATAATGTCACAAAATATTAATCAAAAGACTGTTACTGTTAATCATGCATGTATGTAGATAGGGAACAGTTGGAGCCAATTAAAATAATTCATATTGTGTGTGAACATGTTTATCTCGGAACGATCAATAAATAGAAATAAACAAAATGCTTAAATATACAAGTTTAACAAGCTATAATCTACTTGTTTCTAAAACATTACACATACCTGGTAGGATTTGTAGAAGAACAAACAGAAGTTAGTAAAAACAACCCACAGCTTCTGCCAGCCAGCACTGCTCTTGAACTTTCTAAGGAGGTACCCGCTTAAGTAGTTCTGAAAACAAGTTGTACAAAAATTATTTTTTAAATAGTCCTAAAACATTTCAAAGAAAACGGAGCTAAAGAGTTGAACTGGAGAAATGATATCCTTAGTTTCAAGAAAACTAAATCTGAAACTCCAAATACTACCATCCTGCCAACACTTGATTGACAGTATATCAAAACTACAACTCGCCATGTTCCAATCTTATCTCGAGATAAAATAAATGTGTGGGTTCCACATTTTATAAATTCATATTTTTTTAAAGATTTTCTTATGGATAAACAACTCTTCCATGCCAGGTTAATTTTTATATACACAATATAAAAAACAAAAAAGACAAATGTTTTAACATTTCCTCAGGTATCTGAAACTTAGAACTGTAAACTTTGGGTATTTTTCATGGGGGAATACCTTTTCTTCATTGCAGTACAAAATTCCAAACATTTAGTTTATATCACACTTTTCAAGGCTAAAACAAAGTTATTACAAGTCTCACATGTGTTCCCATGGCAGTGAAATAACACCATCATCATCCATAAATTTAGTTTTTTCTCATCTTCCTGCCATATTTTTCAATCTAAGTTCAGTAGTGGGGAGCCTTAAGAAAGATTTCTCTCTACTGTTAGTTGATGTGATCGAGTATTATAGGCAATAAAATTCAATTTTTCAGTTTAAAAATTCTTATAAATTGATTTAATATTTCCATGATTTTTTTTCAGTTGTGAAGTTTCCAAAATTTTGTTTCAATACAATGTTTTGAAGAACTTTAAAGGTAAATCATTACTGATCAAAAAGATCCATCCAGTCAGTTTCAACTTTACTATTATTCATTAACATACTTCTCTTTGAAACTTAATTTTTACAATTGAAGTTTTCACCACGTCTGTCTCCAAATCATAAAAAAAAGCTTATTTGATGTCTTTTCATAAAGAAAAATTTCTGTAGCTTTAAAAAATTATTTGGTGCTAAAACATTTCATAAATAACTAAAACATCTAGAGAAACAATAGAAAAATTCCCAGATCTGAGGCTTTATCTCAAGTCTTTGCATTTAATAGAATTTTTGCTCACTTCTACAGAAGTTTCATGTAGTCAATAACTTGAGAAAAGACAACGCAAAGCTCAAAACACTTTGTTTAATTAAATAGTATAGATAGAAATCTCTTCTATCCAATCATTTTTAGCTAATGGTTCTAGCTGTTTTTCAAAGCCGAACCTTGTCTGTAATTGTTCACACCATATAAAAGGGAGATAAGGAGGAGGTTAGTAATAAAACAACTGACAGAGAAGAAACATTATGTGAAAAACAAGACAGGACCCATTATATTTTCAAAGGATGATAGATTTCTACCAAATATAAACCTACACCGTGAGATGGGTAGAAAAATTCTACAATATTGATAAATGCATTGTTTACAGGTACGACTCCTTGGGGACACCATCCAAGTATTTTTGTGAATTACACAAAATAAGTGTTACATATTGACAAAATCTGAACTCTGAAATATTTTTCAGTTAACAAATTATTGATAGAGTGTAAATATTATTATTTTTTACTTAAATTTTGAAAGTTGATACGAGTGAAGTGTGCACTCAACACTTGAAATTTGCTCACCAGTTGTGAAAGGATTAAATATATCCCTTGTTGTTTTGGCAGTAGCAAGTTGTTACGACTAGGGATGCATCTGTATAGTGACAGTGGTCAATTATCCTTTGCACTTATTAGTAGACAAAATCAGTAGAGAAATTTCAGAGAATGAGTGTTTTGTAAAATACTCTCTTGAGGATCAACACAGCTGTCCCTCTATCAATGGCCATATATTTTTGACAACTTAAGTAATAGGCCGTTACTTTCGCCACATCATAAGCCACCACTATAATATTGGTGGTTCTTTAGACTACCAGATTCATGGGATTAAAAAAAAACAAAGTACAATTACTCAATTTCTTACATAAATATTCAAAGAAAGTTTTTAACTTTAGTTTCAGGGTTATAAAACTTATTCTATACTTTAGTTTCAGGGTTATAAAACTTATTCTATACTTTAGTTTCAGGGTTATAAAACTTATTCTATACTTTAGTTTCAGGGTTATAAAACTTATTCTATGGTTCCTTCAAAGTTTATAGTATTAACCTATTATGATACTTTTGAAAGTAAACGGCAACTATGTGAAATAACACAACGTGACATAAATGTACAAGATAAAAAGCATAAACACTGGCCAAAGACAAACAAACTACGTAAAGGACCTAGAGAAAAATAGATTAGGATCATCTGGTAGTAAAGCAAGATTTTCTAAAGCTTCTTACCACCATGGCCTGCCTATAATCTGCCCTTCCAACACTGGTGTTTCTGTGCCAACAAACGTGAACTGTGGTATTTGATCGATGTTGTGAATGTTTTTCAGACATACTACTGTTGCTTCCTCCTTGTGGTTGGCCCGTGGGTGAATGGAGTGGAAGAGGACTCTCTGGCATGTCAAGCAGTTCTTCTGATGATGCTGAAACAAATGGTCACGTTTATAAATGTTTATCTTATGATGTCTCAAAAACAACAACTACAATAAAAAACAGCCACTGTATATATGTGGATGAAGAAAATCAAGTTAAAAAAATTGAAATTCTGATGTTTACTCATTAACAGAACTATTGTTTTGGTTACTTCTATGGAGAAATTAAGACTGTAGAAAAAATAAATTTTTGTTCATAATGGACAGGGTGGTCACAAGTTTCTTTTTTTTTAGGGTCCTAGGAACCTCAATGTTTAGATTTGTTTGCTTGTTTTGAATTTCGTGCAAAGCTACACGAGGACTATCTGTGCTAGCCGTCCCTAATTTAGCAGTGTAAGACTAAAGGGAAGGCAGCTAGTCATCACCACTCACTGCCAACTCTTGGGCTACTCTTTAACCAATGTCCGTCACATTATAATGCCCCCACAGCTGAAAGGGCAAGCATGTTGGGTGGGATGGGGATTTGAACCATAATGCTTAGAAACTGAGTCCCCCACTTGAAATTGGAAGTTTTGATAATTTCCTTCGTGAAGAATGGTCTAGTTTTAAAAAGTGCTTAGATTATAGTTTATATTTTTAATATTTTTGTTTTTAATTTAATTTTTGAACAATACGTTTTCCTAAAACCAGGAATAAAGTTCACGATATCGATAGAATTAATACAGATAATCATGCAATTTGTATTAAACCTAATTAACCTTTCACTCTAATGTTATTTAATAATATTATTGTAGTACGTTTAGTTATTATTAAAAGATTATGTCTGAGGTTAATCAAATTTTGTATTCTTATTTCTTTCAGTCTGTTATGACAAGATACATTAATCATATAATAAACAGCTATTTAACACATACCTAAGAAACTATACACACTCATTAATGATTAGATAATCAAACTAAACCCACAATAAATTATACAAACACAGCAAGACTCAAAAATTTATTGGTGACAGATGGCCCCCACCTCTATCGTTATCAAGTAATGAAGAATGACATATTGACAACCCATGTTAGTTGTTGAGATCAAATTATATCTAATAGTTATAATTATCTTTCTATACGTAAGAAGGTATTATCTTTGTGTGTACATTGTTTAAACAATATTAACTTAACACTGTATTCAAACGCAATATTAGAAAAACGAATTTGTATCATCCGATTAATTTGATGTTGCAGGCTTAACCTACCGTACTCGTTAATAACTGTCGGTGATGATGTTGTAGGCTTAATCTACCGTACTCGCTAATAACTGTCGGTGATGATGTTGCAGGCTTAACCTACCGTACTAGCTACTAACTGTCGGTGATGATGTTGCAGGCTTAACCTACCGTACTCGCTAATAACTGTCGGTGACGATGTTGCAGGCTTAACCTACCGTACTCGCTAATAACTGTTGGTGATGATGTTGCAGGCTTAACCTACCGTACTCGCTAATAACTGTCGGTGATGATGTTGCAGGCTTAACCTACCGTACTCGTTAATAACTGTTGGTGATTAGATATTGTCATACACATTATTCCAGTAGCCTTTCAGTATAATATTACATAAAAACAAAAGGTACAAAAATAAATTTATCAAAATATATAAGGGATGGAGAATCGGCCTTCTAAATATTATGGAAGTTTCAAGTTGTTTCATTACTGTTGACTACAGCTGATCATATTAAATTCATTATTTTTAAATGTTTGACATATTTTTGCACATCACTATTGTAATCCCAAGTAAAGAGAAATGAAGGTTAAAATATCTTTCTGAAGAAACAAAATGATTAGAAAATAAAACAAACATCAAACTAACACGAAATAGTGAAACTTAATTGGGAGAAATAAATAAGCTTAGGAAAGTGCAAAAAAAATAATAATCCTTTCCAGGTGTTTACTGCAACGATTTTCAAACTTACGTTTCCATCATGTATCTTGGCATATGAACTTTAAATATTGCCTTTCTAGGTGTTTACTGTAACGATTTTCAAATTTACGTTTCCATCATGTATCTTGGCATATGAACTTTAAATATTGCCTTTCTAGGTGTTTTCAATATTTAAAGTTCATATGCCAAGATACATGACGGAAACGTAAGTTTAAGAATCATTTTATCTTTTATTCATTGTTGATATGTCAAAAGTTTGAGTAAAGAACTTTTTGAAATAGAGTTACGATTATATGTTTAATGTTGAGTTTTGAACTTGCTATCGAGTCTCGAGTGACCCTTCCGGCTGGAAACGGTCGAAGCCAAATTATGCATATATTATTACGAATAATTAAAGTACAGCATATAATGGATCATAATTGTTAAACGTAGGTAGACAAATTTTATTACTTTTCGTCTGCATTTGTAAAACATCACTATCGAAAACCTATAATTTCTATACTTTATCTGTTAAAACTATTAGACGAATTAAAGCACGATGATGATTTAAAGTCAACAAGTAATTTCAACTTCTAGCTCTCAAATGATGTGTGTATTTTTAGGCACTTTAACAAATATGCCACTGACAAATTTGAAATTATGCACTGTTGTTACATTATATTTAAGATTTAAACAGAAGGATTATCTGTTTATAAATATAGATGATGCAACATACTATGTTGTTGTTCTGTGTGTAAATAGCACATTAATCAGTGTCGAAATTTTTTTCACTCTCGTGACTGTTTCCCAATTACTAAAACTAGTTACAATATCACTAATATGCCTGTAGAAACAGTCACAGGAGTGCAATAAATGATGTTACAGGATCACCCTCCTGTCTAATTTTGACATCTGAAGAGATGGTAGCACAACACAGAAAGGGAGAGAGACTATTTAGTAATGTATTTATTGATGTCAATACCCTAAACATACATTGCTTTATGCAAACAATGCTGGATTAAGCTTATCAGTCACATCTTAACAGGAGTAAATATTTGTTTTCTACCAATACTTACATGCCTGTACTTTACATAATTATATAAATTAACTTTATAACAGCTAGGAAGTTAATGATTAGACTATGGTTCAAGTCTCTGATCATGACGTGCTGATAACAAGTTTATGCTTGTTTACAAACTTAAGAATAAATGGATATGTAAAGCCATTTTTTTTTCAGTCTTTGGCTCAGTTTTTTAAAATAAGAAGAATCTGAGGTTGCGAAATATGAGAAACAAAAAATTATTTTTACTGGTCATTTGAGTTTTCTCATCACACACTCCTGGTGGCCTTTATGCTCTCAGGAGTTTCTCTACAAACTAAAGGAAGATCCTTTCCTTCAAACTACATAAAAAAAACAACACTGTTTTGGTAAGTTCAGTGGAAAAAGAAAAAACAGCCTTGCCAGTGAACACAAGAGGATATTGGTAGTGGGTCAATTACAGGTTGTATGAAAAGTTGTGACTAAGTAATAATTTTTATTTTCAAGTCACAAACATTACAATTATTTGTATTCAAATAATGATTTGGATATGCATCACACGCACAGACGTACACATCATACGGGCATACTTACTACTGGAATGTAGACTAGAGAAAGAGAAGCTGTTGCCATGATGATTCCTTGCATGTTGAATGGCTTCAGAAAGATCTGTCAACCTATTTTTTTTTTTCTTCTTCAGAGCTAAGAGAGAACAAAAGTAATATAAGATGTTAAAACGCTACACATTAGTCAATAAGGTTTCTCTTGACAGATTATTGCATAATGGTTCAAATACGTCTATAAAGAGATGAATAATACGAAACGTCAATTCTGATTGGTACTTGCACACAGTCAGGTATCATTTATTAAAAATTACACAAATTTTCAACTTAAATTTCAAACTCTACTAATATAATTAACAGATTTGCTAGCAATTGTTTGGTATATGATGAAATAACCAACATGTATTTTAACTATAAAACAAAAACTTTGTATAATTATGAAATATATTGTATTTGATCTCGTTCAAACGACTGGGTAGAGCAAAGCAGGGATTTCTATAAGAATATACACACACACAGATAATCTGAAAAACATTTTTAATAACACCGATAGAAAAAAAACAACAGAATATACTCAAGGACTATAGGACTAATTCTGAAGTGACAACCTAGAGGGAAGGCAGCTAGGTAACACAATCTATTATCAACTCTTAGGCTACTCTTTTACCAACAAAAAGTGGGTTTTTATCATCACATTATAAAGTCCCCAAGGCCAAAAGTGTGGCTATGTTCGGTGATGGTTATCAAATTTGTAACTCACATACTGTGAATCGAATGCCCTAACCAACAGGCCAGTTGGGCAAGTTAAACTGCAGCCAATATTAAAGAGTAATTTCATCTCTTTTTGTATCTGATTATAATTTTGGTGAAAATAAAACAACCATGGATATAAACAATACAAAATTAATGTAATTTACCTGATTTTAGGGTTCTTTAAGGATAAATTAAAAAACTAAAGTTGCCAAATCATGGTCAACTTCACAATATTCATCAAATATTTTTGCACGTGTGTGTGAGAGATAGAACCTCGTACACAACTCTTGGAAACATCTAAGCATTAATAAAATTAATTGTTATATATAGTAAGTGGTAAACTGTGACACAGTTTCCTGAATTCTTGATTATTCAACCATAAGAACTTGCTGCTTGAACTACAGTGCACCCAACCAGTTTACAATCAAGTATAATAAGATATCATTAAATCTGATTGACCAGAACTGAAAATGTTATCCTCATAATGCACTTGACAATAAACACAGATGTTGCAGAGTTATCAATCCAGTACCCATTTCATTACAATATTTCCATTTGCACAAAAGTAATACACACATACCTTGCAGAAACTATGAGAGCTCGACTTCCACCATATATGGTGAAACAATGGTTAGCTCCCATCTTTGGTTCCGAGTCCTCCACCATCACTCCCTGCAAAGGAAGTTGACCGTGGACCTTGAACTGAAGTTGTGGCATAGATGTTCTGCTCATATACAGAAGAACATCTGAAAACTAAACCACGATATATTCAACGAATGATTTCTTTAACCTTCTGTATTGATGGGCATCAGCAAACTTGAATCTCACAAGATCTAGACATCACATTTGATTTACTCATAATATTAAAATGAATGAAAAGCACTGGTACTTTTGATATTTTATAACATTACAAAAGCAAATGACAAGCACAATGAAAAGCTAATTTAATCTAGAAAAATATTAGCTTATAATATAAAAAATCTCCAAAACACAACATTATAAATGACCAACAATTATACAGAAACAGAGTCAGTAGTAACTGAACTTACCAGAAAAAACATTCTCTGTTGAAAACCTTTTCTTGACAACTTATGAAGACAGCCCTCTCTTATAAATTCCTAAAAATTCAGGACACAAAGAACATTAATAGACAATATTCATCCTCGTGGCAACTACACACAAAAATATTCATACTAATTAAACAATTCATTACGAACTCCAGTAAAGCATGCTAAAAAAAAAGATATGTTTTCTATAATTGATACTTGAGATAGTCAGAACTTTGTGAAACTCCATAATTACGGAATGGAGGGAAAAAAAAACCAGACAACTGTATGTTTCACAAATACTTCACGACCATTTCTGTCTGTACCTGATAATGCCTTTACTGGTAAAACCATGGTCATTTAATAAATGATGTATTTGTGAAATGTACAATTGTCTTTGTACGTTTCTTCAATTCTGCAACATTTTCTATCAGCTTTGGCTAAGTCATCATTTAATGCAGAACAATTTGACAAATCAAACACTTAAAAACCAAGTCAGAAAAATAAAAACTTTTAATATAAAGTTATTAATTTTAGAAATTTGTTAGCATTTGTTGTTAAACACTGTTTTCATGTTTGTCACAGTTTCTCAGAACTCCAAAATGTTCAACCCCATGGTAACCTTGTAGCATGAAATTTGTAGCATGTAATATCACTCTTGTCATATTTTGTTCCAAAAATAAAACTAGGGGATGAAATTGTTTGGAATTTGACATTAACATTCCTAAAAGTATGTAGTTTCAGAAAAATAAAACATTTATTTTTGATTATTTTCTACTATTTCTAATAAAAAAATTCTTTATTTAATGTAATTATTTGCACTTGCACTTTGAATAGTTCACCTGCAGGTGTTTTTTATATGAAGTATAAAAATACTATTTTTTATCTTACAGTTTACACATTTCATTTGTATAATCTCTAGGACGTCATAAATGAATATCAAAAATTTTTTAAAGGTAAATATTTATACTTTCTCTACTATATCACTAACTATATCTATTATCATCAACATACAGTGAAATGAAATGTTTAAAATTAACATACTGAAATAGGTATACATCTTTCAAGTCTTCGAAGATACCCACTAGAATAATCATATTTTTTTTATATATGCATAACTTCAAGTTTATCTTTTATTTTCCTTTCAAATTTTTCATCTATTATCATTTATGTCCATACATTAACTGGCACCAGTGGGGATTTATGAAGTTATTTTGGCAGAATCCCTGCAGAGACACATTGCCACAAAAAAAGATGGCACTTACACACACCACCTTGTTTATAACCTTTCAAAATGCAGGCAACAAGTTAAGCTTATAAATATACACTTATGTCAACTAACTACATGTATACTGTAGATCCCAAGGCAAAGTATAGAAGGTGGGAGTGGTAACCATCAAAGGTTGAAAAATTTATATATGTTTCCTAGACAACCCAGCTTGCAGACTTCAGATCTCACATGACAATTAGGTCAAACATATGTACTTAACATGTAGAAATGCTTGTACATGCCAGGTTGTGTGTCGAAGAGAAAAACAATGCTAAAGTCAAGATTTTTCAAAGCTTGTGGATAACATGACACAAAAACTGCAGTTAAATATTTTTTTTGAAAGGTTTGCTTTGAAACAAAGCAATTAATACTTACATAACATATAATTCAAATTATAACATACAATATAATATTAATTTTATTTTCATATATTGATGGTAAAAATGATTTAATTAAATTCTAAAAATAACACACTACCATACACAGAAAGGAATCTAAAAATGGTACCGGGGGTCATAGGGTTAACGAGTTTTTCATAATACAGTCAACAGTATAAGTTACAGCTAATAACCGCAACACAAGAAAAAGAACTAACATTATAAATGGCTTCAAAATAAAACTGAGTAGCACCACTTAATAAATGGAACTGGAGTTTTTTTAAGCAGCAACAGTTGAAAGCATTTTTATTAGACAATCCACACTTTTTATACAGTATTTACAAAGAAAAAAAAACTGTATGAAAATGTTTACTCTCTAATTATTGTAAAGCAAACAATGTGCAGCAAATATAGTTCATATTACAGTTTATACTACCGTGAGATGAACAAAAACTAATTTAAACAAAGCTCAAAAACTTGAAGCACACTTTGAACACAAGATGAGGGAGTAGAGAAGTGTCTATATAACCATAATATTTATATACCAACAGAATTAACATTCTAAGAGTATAAATAAAATACACATGAAGTTTTCTTACTCTTTCAGGTGAAATAAGGTTGTCTATTCCAATGAGGTCGTGCTGAAGTTCAGTTAATTTGACACAATTTTCCTGTACAGTGAAAAAAGAATGAAGGATTTACTTCAACTCAAACCAACCATGTTACCATGATTATAGGATATATATTATGTAATAAAAAAATCAAGTAATATAATAAATAATATGAAGATTCAAAAACAAGTTCTTGGAGTTATTTTTGTATAATACAATTTTTTATATTTAAAAAAAGGATTAGAAACATAACATACAAATGAGAAATCATATGATGCTGATAGATTGTATAAGGCTTTTTTTACTCTTACAAACATTATATAAATGCAGAGTTTATATCAAACGTGTTAAACAGTGATGTGCTACAACTAACAGGAATATTAGAATCATGGTGTTAAACAGTGATGTGCTACAACTAACAGGAATATTAGAAGCACGGTGCTAAGTAATGATGTGCTTCAACTAACAAGAATACTTTATTAGAAGCAGTGTTAAAAAAAAATGTGCTACAACTAACAGGAATATTTTATTAGAAGCACAGTGTTAAAGAACAATGTGCTACAACTAATAGGAATATTTTATTAGAAGCAAGTAATATTTTATTAGAAGCACAGTGTTAAACAATGATGTGCTACAACTAACAGTTATATTTTATTAGAAGCACAGTGTTAAACAACGATGTGCTACAACTAACAGTAATATTTTATTAGAAGCAGTGTTAAACAATGATGTGCTACAACTAACAGGAATAGTTTATTAGAAGCAGTGTTAAACAATGATGTGCTACAACTAACAGGAATAGTTTATTAGAACAACATTTCTAGGAAGCAGATCGATCCGATATGTAATACAAACAGTATATTCATTATTGAATGAATAACAATCTGTTAAAAAATATCTTTATCAGATGAAGTTCTCTTCAAAGCATGTTAGTAACACACAAAAACAACAATTATACTTGACTAATAAGATTATGAAAAACCTACCAGTGAACTCAGGGTTTTACTGTAGGATGAAATCACGTCCTCAAATCTCTTCATTACGACTACAAAGGCAAATAAGAAATAACCCTTATAAACAAATTAGACAAAACAACAACAGAAACTCATTAATATCTGAGTATTCTACAAAACAGCTAGTACCTACATAGAAACAGTCTCCCTATCCCCCCCTCTTAAGGATTCTTTTGGCAGAGTGTATAGTATCACATCAGTACATCACTGGAATTCAGCAGACTGAACAAGGGCAACACATTACACTGGTTAAAGTCAACTTGGTTTACCTTCACGATTGAACTTATAATTACCATACTTAGAAACCAAGTGATGTTCATGGGTTTCATCATATGTCATGAGTTTCTACACAAGTGTGTTTAAAAACTGCACTTTTTCATCACCATTTTCTGATAACAAACAAACAATGTTCTTTAGTCGCTAATAAAATTAATATTTTTCAGTATCACATATAATTTCAATAACTAACACATATATATGTCATGTTAATATTTTACATAGAGAGAACATATTATTTACACACAATTAGTTATATCATAACTCAACAGCTAATAGACTTACGTTTACAGTGCTGTAGGTCAGGATGGTGGTCATCATAGTGGTTCACAAATCCTGCACAAAACATAAAAATTATCAGTATCACTCAGCATATAATACTCAGGTAATGTAAAAGTACATAGTTATTCAATCATACAGAACTAACTGAAGATACTGAATATTATGTATGCACCTTTAAGGGATTTATGTTAAAAAAAACAACCTAATTCGGAGAAAGGTACAGTCAAACAATTTCACAAATATTTTCTTCATATTTTGAATATTAACTAACATGCTGCTTAAGCCACTGACTTTAGAATCTCTATATTAGGGAAGATATGGCTAAAATGTAATTTTATGGTGTACATGCATATAAAATCAAAAGAGTAACAGTCATACAATCTTTTGAGCACCTCCTTATTTCGTACCCATATGATCACATCGATACATGGAAAAATAAGGATGTATTCACAACAATAAGGCAACAAGTGACAACCAATCAGTAGGTGTGTAAGAACCAGTTCTTGCTTCTCTACGAGGTGAAACAAGTGCTATTATAACTTCTAGCATCAATTATTTGCTGTGAATGACTGAGAGTGCATCACATGGTATGAAATATTTTTCCTGTTATTTCAAAAACCAGGTAAATGAATTGAATCAATGTTGCCCAGTTGTTAAGGCTGTTGCAACAGAATTTGCATATGACAGTTTTTTGCAACATGGTAAAATGACTCTTGATTCATTTAGGCCTAGTTATACACAATTTGCTCAAACACGTAGACCTATTTTATATATAGCACGAGATTTCAGTTACTCACAGATAGAGAGCCAAAGAGTCTTTTAGTAAAAACACGCCGATTCATTTAGTTTTAATTTACAAACAATGTCATTTTGAAAATTAAAAAAATGTCTTAATCTTAATGATGTTACTGATTCTTAAAATGAGATCATTATCTTCAATAAAATGTTAAAATTTAAGATTTATATGTAGGCCCAGGAATGCAGATATAATATGCAAATGTGATGATTAATCAGGGTTAAGCAAAACTGAAAAGATTATTACTGACTGGTGATTTTGGGCAAAAGATAAAACTTTTTTGCCATCATAACCAGACAATCATCATTCAATGGTTATCTGAAAATACACGATAATTGTTATGATAAAATTTATCGACGATTTTGTTGTGAATTGAATTTTACCTAATGTGCCTAAAGTTCTTTTTTTTTTTTTTATGAGCTCAATAGATTGAATACTAAATGTATATTCACTATAAATATTTGTATTCTGACCAAATGAAATTTAGTATTCTCACTTGCATAAATCAACGTATTAATTTGTATATGATTGTGCACTTTCTGGACACGAAGATCCCTCTCTTATACTTTAAAACATGCAAACAGCTAAGAGCAGTTACGATACTAAGATTTTTCCTGAGAAACAAAAAATTAGTGGGATTTTTAGAGGAAATAAAATGTTGTTGAAAATATATATATATATATACATATCAGTTACTGGCTACATGCAAAATCAGTTATATTTTCAAGATTGCACTGACATGACAAACCTGTGCTACCTATAAAAATATCCTAACACAAAAAATAATGATAATTAACCAGCAAAATAAATACTGTGAGAATAAAAATAACAAATTCAAGAGGACTTTTAAACAATTCTAATCAAATCTGTAAAGTAGATTTGTAGCATTATTGGCAAAAATAACTGACTTTAAAATGTTAAATAACATCTTAAAACTTACTGTGTAATAAGAGAGAATAATGAAGTAGCCGGTGAGCAGGTCTTAGCAAAAAAGATGTCAAGGGCAAATAACAAACTTTCTGTAGTTCAAATTCACGGTAGACTTGTTCAAAATGCTGGTTGTTTCTATATGCTATGTTTAAGTTCTCTAGAACTAATGGCAAATTTTCAACGTAGCGAATGTACAACTGTTAAAAAGAAAGAAATAAGATCTTCAACAATACACAACAGTTTACCATAAACTAGATCTTCAATGACACACAACAGTTTACCATAATCTAGATCTTCAACAATACACAACAGTTTACCATAAACTAGATCTTCAAT